TCAAATCCACTCTGTGATCATCTTGTGGGGTATTTCCTTTGATCATGATAATCATTTTACAATTATTTTATATTAAACTTTCATGTTTCTCTCTCAATAATTATATATTATGTGATCCGTCGACATATTGCCTATCTCTCTCTCTCTCTCTCTCTCTCTCTCTCTCTCTCTCTCTCTCTATCTATCTATCTATCTATCTATCTATCTATCTATCTATCTATCTATCTATCTATCTATCTATCTATCTATCTATCTATCTATCTATCTATCTATCTATCTATCTATCTATCTATCTATCTATCTATCTATCTATCTATCTATCTATCTATCTATCTATCTATCTATCTATCTATCTATCTATCTATCTATCTATCTATCTATCTAATCTATCTGTCTGTCTGTCTGTCTGTCTGTCTGTCTGTCTGTCTGTCTGTCTGTCTGTCTGTCCGTCCGTCCGTCCGTCCGTCCGTCCGTCCGTCCGTCCGTCCGTCCGTCCGTCCGTCCGTCCGTCCGTCCGTCCGTCCGTCCGTCCGTCCGTTCGCCCGCCCGCCTATATGTCTGTCTATAGGCTAAAAATACCATGGACCAGGAAGAAAAGAAATACTGACACCCTAAAAGATCCGAGCATCAAGAACGATTAGTTAGTGAACGTATATTGCCTCCGAAACTGAAATGTTTTCACAATATCATGCACCACGGCGGACTGGAAAGCATAAAAGTAGAAGGCTTGATATCAGGAAGAAGGGGCGGCGACCGATGAGCACCAAGATGGACACAGGAAATAAGTGACGCCTTGAGTAGGAAAACACACGAGGCGGCAGATCTGACAAGAGACCATTTTTTTTTTTCATTTTAGAAGGTTGTGATGAGAGCGACGTTCTGCAAATGACCTGTTTTTCGATGAGTCGGTGATACATAAGTCACTGTCTCCGACATTTCAGTTCAAAAGCCCTAATTTTCTTTTTAAATCCATTGTCAGGAGCCCATCTTCCTATAACCCATGCCGTGTGGCATTGGTAGATATGTCTGTCTACAACCCTCTGTTTCGCACATGTGTAATCAATTCTAACAGACTATCTTCCATATTCCGTATCGTGTGACGTTGGTTGTCATGTTTGTCCACAACTTTGTGTCTCGTGTTAATTCTGACACAGATGATCTTCCACACCATGATGTCAGACTGTCCAGCATCTTCTCTCTTGGTCTTCTTCTGCCTCTTCTTCTCTGCAACTTTTTCAACTTTACGATGCACAATAATTCTCTCGTCACGATAAGGCCAAACATTGTAAATTCTCTCCTGATGAGGGCAATCATTCCCCTCGTGAGTTAGTTTCTTCCGACACATCTTCTTTGCTATTTTTAACTGTCTAATGTATTCTCATCATTTGTCTATAGAATCACATCTTCGCTGCCTCCAAATAACCTTTTACTAATTGTCCAATTGCTCATGATTCACTTTTGTATATCAGGATGTTTTATATAGCTGTTGATAATTATCTTTCTCGTCTCAACTGGTAAAGAAAAATTTCATAAAATATTCTTCTTTGTGTAGAATGTTTCCTTTGCTTGAGCTGTTCAATTTCTGTAATACATCCTCCATCTGCCGTTGACTGAGTACAAAGTACATATACATATCATCTTGCTTGCGGATTGTCCCATAAACTATCTATTTTTATGGTATATTTGCATAGCCCATATAACATATTCTTCGTAATGCCTGGATGCCGGGTGTCGCGCGCCCACGTGGGTAAATACACTGATATAGTGAGGGTGTGGGTTTGAACCTTAACAATGCCCACCCACGTGAGAAACTGGACTATTATCTAAGCTATGTTGATCCTAGACAGTCCTGGATAGCCAAGAAAACAGCGAGTGGCTCGTTCCATGAAATGAAAGTTGCTGTACTTGTATCCACAGGAGTAGGAGAAGGGATAGATAGATATCTGGATAAACCCACTGTGATATAATCCAGGTGCTCAGTTAACCCCTGCGACTGGTCTCCTCTCCTGGCATTACTTAAAAAGCCCCCATCAAGTGATTTAAATATTTGTTAGCTGAAGTAAACTAATATGCACAAAGACACTTGAACCTAAGTACACAATTTACTCAACTATCATGAAACTCATCACACATGATTTATTTAATAAATCTGACTAAAATAAAATGAACTTGTTTAGGCTAGTAGAGTTGGGATGATGTTATAGATGACATTAAAGTTGTACATAACTTAGCTCATCAGGACAGTTCTCGGCTTGAGACCCTGCCTATCTTTTCCAGTTTGTCGTCCTCACTGCTTTCTGCAGGTCGTTACACTCGACGGTCGGCAAATAATGGATGCCTACTAGTCCCTGCCCAATGTGGGAACTGGAGAATGAAGAAACAAGCGCATATTTGTAGTATCTGCTCTAGATGTACATTAAGCATGTATATTATACTAACATCAAGCATGTTTATTTAAATAAAACATTTCATCTCTCCCTCATGCTCACATTCACTCCTGTCCAATTTGGAAGGGCTTATGTCTCACATTCCAACTGTTACATCTTCTGCCTTCCTCTACACGTCCTGTAATGATAGTCAAGTCTTCTACGTCAGGTGCCATCTCTCGTACAGACTCAAAATGACAATCAGTCAGACAGAACCAGTTCTGGAACCTATGCTTGGAACAATCGACGCGCCCAGAAAGCTAACAACATTTCTGAGGCGAATCAAATAACAAATCTCGTGGATTTACTCTCCGGGATCAATCTCCGCATTAGCCTCCCGATAGTTAAACACATTTCAGTGTGTTAGCTGTATGTAATACAGATTCACATTAACCACACGTGAAAAGATTGCCAAAGTTATCTTCACGCTTGTGATTTCAAAAACATGATAGTTCATTAAATTTCAATGGCAACAACAACATTTAGGTTTTACAACATTGAAACACATGTGCCCGAAAAACATTCATGACACTATCAAATAGGAAATAAAGCAATGTGACAGTGCCCTACGAGAATGAAGAAATGTCCGCCTAGGAGTACTACAAAGTGATGAAGACACACACTTGAGCAAAAAGACAGATCTCTATCATAAATATAGATGTGAACCTAATTTCGATCTTACCTGGAAAAATGAAACCACGATGCCAAAAGTTCTGTCTCAAGCTTAGGTTAAGCCCAACAGATGGCATGTGCTAGACAGGATCTCATTTACCAGACCTAGCGTTCACCACTTTATAACTTTTATCAAGCTCCTCCTACATTACGCCTAAAATCATTCTCATTCACGGATGCCACAGCTCCTCCCTGTGGGTAAGTTTATTCGCTGTCAGTCAGTGACTGTACAACAATTGTTTGAATTCCCACGCTAGGGTCTCCTGGTCAATTCATCTGACCAGAGCAAATAAGACAGGTCACACCTCTAGTCTACTTCACCTGCCATCACAATAAAATCAGGCGGTGTCAATTCTTCTGTTAACACTTTCTGCTCACCATGTCAATAGTGACCGTCGGACCGGCACTCCAGTTTAGGCAACCTCAGGGGGAGATAATGGCAATTAGCCCTTGTTATCTGTTCCTGAAGGTCAGGCAGGGAAATAACTATCTGACACCAACAAATGGTGTGCAAATCTCCAGTCAGTAAGTCTGCTTGGTCAGTCTTATCTCTGTACCTTAACACTTAACATCTGGGAAAAAGTTTTAGTGTTTGATATGACCAACTGTCCAGGAGAATTAAATGCTTGTTCATTTCGCCTACTTAGATTAAGGATGTATCCAAATCCCTATTTTCCTGTATACTTTCAAAATACAAAGAAATAAAAGTAGGTTGAGGAAAGACATTCTGGAGTCACCGAGCGTATTGTCACATCTTCGCTGCCTCCAAATAACCTTTTACTAATTGTCCAATTGCTCATGATTCACTTTTGTATATCAGGATGTTTTATATAGCTGTTGATAATTATCTTTCTCGTCTCAACTGGTAAAGAAAAATTTCATAAAATATTCTTCTTTGTGTAGAATGTTTCCTTTGCTTGAGCTGTTCAATTTCTGTAATACATCCTCCATCTGCCGTTGACTGAGTACAAAGTACATATACATATCATCTTGCTTGCGGATTGTCCCATAAACTATCTATTTTTATGGTATATTTGCATAGCCCATATAACATATTCTTCGTAATGCCTGGATGCCGGGTTCGATCCCAGGTGCAGGCCATGCGCTTGCGTTGGTTTCGACAGTGGTATCAAGAAAGCCGACCGTCCAGTGGAATGGCAAACTACTGGAGGTAATTTTGTCTAGAAGTACACACAAAAGCCAGGGGCTGTTGGGGTTGATTCTGCAACGTCCTGTAAAGGATACGCAATTAACCTATTACCTATTAAATATAGTATATTAATGGTGTCTTTCTGTCTGCATCTGCAGACTAAAGTCCTCAACTCCAGCCTTCCGATGCTGACCTCTGGTCCTGAAGACAGAAGAGACCTGGACCTGAGGGATCACTTGAGGGCTCCAGCTCGCGACGAAGAGGTCGGTTGCTTCACTTTGGTTCTTCTCTTGTTAATACTGGTGCACGTGCTCTTGTTGTTGTTGATATTGCTGCTGCTGTTGTTGTTCTAATTCATATTCCACCTTCCTTTCCGTCTCACACTCCCACACCTGATGATATTGCTGATGTTATTGTCGTTGTTGTTTTTCTGTTATTGCTATTTTTCATATTTTTTCTTCTGCTCCACCACGCCTCCTTTTGGCTTTCCTACCATCCCCTCATGCTCCTACTTATCTCAACCTCATTCTTTTTCTTTATTTTCTCACTTCCTTCACCTCCGCTTCTTCCTACTCCATTCTTCTTCTTATTCGTTCCTCATCTACTTCTTGTGTTATAATTTCCCGTTTTCCTCTCACTCCTCCTCGCTCTTCCGCTCCTCTTCCCCGATGTTGTTGTTCTTGATCATCATTGTCATCATCATCATTTGGTTGTGCATGTATATTATCTCCCCTAGTGCCGGCCTACAGAAGAATGACAGTGGTCGAGGAGGTAGCGAAGATGAAACTAGCCACAGAGGGTCGGGGCTTGATCATGGTTTGTATTCAATATACTTGTGTATTTGTTTACCTTTTTTGTTTAGTGGTTTATCGTTCTTCTTTTTCATCATCATCATCTTATTTTTGTTCTTCTTTTTCTTCTTCTTCTTCTTTGTCATCATCATCTTCTTCGTGTTCTTTGTCATTGTTACATATCACTCCTGTCGCGTGCCTAATGTAAGGATTTCTCCTTCAGAACCAAAAGCACTCAGAAATAATTATGTTGAGTCGTTTGGCTCGTATTGGTCTAAGGGATTCCCCGTGGCCAATATACGCTCAACTTATCTCTGGAGTAGGGCAACTCAAGTATTGGCACTACAAAATATGTCAGTATATGAATACAATATTTCTAGGCACACTTGGCTGGACCCCCCACTACTTACTAAAGAAAGCCCCCAGGTTATGATAGTTCATTATCATAACCATGTTAACACATATAATGAAGATACACACACACACAACTGCTAAACACTTAAAAAGGTGAAAAAGAGACACCTAAGTCAGCCATGAAAATGAATGCATGTAATCAATATAAAATAGATATATAATAGTGAAACAAATGCCAGATCTCCTAGGCTAGATCTCAGGATATCATGTCCAAATCACAAAGATACTACACAGACAGAAGGTCCTGGAGATGACATCTTATCGTCATTGGGAAACATAGGAGCTGTGAGGAATAAAGCACATAAGGCATCAAACTGCACTTAGCCTCTTTCTGTCTATGATGCCTCCCTCAACTCCTGATGATTCGACTGTCTTTGACTCTGGTAATTCTGCTCAACTGGATCAGGTAGTGAAAGAGTCCTTCACCATAGAGGACACAGCAACTGTACCGGTATTCAGCAAGTCTCTCCCACCAGTTAGGTCACAACAGGGACTCTGAGCTACACCAAGCTCTTGCACTGGTATGCTGTTTGAGGTATCTGCCTCCCCATAGTGATGATGTCAGGAACTTTCACAGGTGTTAGCTGGTGGGTAGTTGGAAAGTCAGATATACAGTGGAGATAGATAGAGTGTTCTAACACATATATCACTCTCTCTCCCCCCTCTCCTCTGCACACAGACACCAATATTTACTGTCAGTACCTTTATTTCTTATGCCTCCCAAAGCTAGTCCTACCATTCATTGATCTGGGTCAGCACACTCGCACACTGGCCAACAAAGTCCTGACCTAATTCTGTCCCCATTTTGTATGCACAAACTTCTGTTGCCAGTTTAAATAGTACACACTTGTAAGGTTTTAGGTTTACCAGTATGAGTGGGTTATTTAAGGCATAGGCTATTTAGTCTGTACAGGGGAGGGTCTACGTTCGAATCCGCTTCTCTAGCGATCAAGAACGGTCGAACTATGTGTGATCCCACAGCCGATACTGATCTCTCTACAGCAGTGACTACTTTAACAGACATCATTTTAGGTACTCGTAAACTATAATTAACTTACCCAAGCATATGAAAAGTCTGAGACATTCCAGATCGCCTTATGAAAGTGAAATTATACAGGCATAGATTGACACGTCTGGACGCTTGGAGCCGGCAAGAGAGAATGGCGCAAATTAAGCACTTCAAGCGTTGGAAAAAAAAGGAGTTCTCAGTATACATGGGCAAGGAGTAAATCGGTTTCTAAGAAACCTCAAATAACTCTCCTAATATTTATCCAATGGATATACATTTAAAAATGGAGTTAAGTCAAAGCAACCAGAAAATGTAGACATAATAATGTTGTCTAATAAAGGCATATATATATATATAGATATAAGGGCTATATCTTTCCGGACGAGTCCAAGTTTGAATTTTGTGCCGATTACAGGTAAGTCAAGTTACCAGTCTTACGGACTGATGCGTAATGGCTTATCATTCCACGACAGTCATCATCACCTTCTTCTTCTTTGTCATCATCAACATCATCATCATCATCTTCTTCTTTTACTTCTTCTTCTTCTTCTTCTTCTTCTTCTTCTTCTTCTTCTTCTTCTTCTTCTTCTTCTTCTTCTTCTTCTTCTTCTTCTTCTTCTTCTTCTTCTTCTTCTTCTTCTTCTTCTTCTTCTTCTTCTTCTTCTTCGTTTTCTGGTTCTTCTTCTTCAGCATTTTGTTTCCAAAAGGAGCATAGGCCCTTACCAACTCAACCTAAAAACGCGAATCTTTTGCCACCTTCCAAATCTCCCCCGACGACCTCCCGCATTTATAATCTATGTCTTTTTTGGTTTATCAAAGTATTTTTGTTTTTAATTCCCCTTTGTTTTATTTACTTTGTGAGATCCCATATTAAGTGCTTTCTGATAATACTAGTATAATTTTCTGTCATATTCAACACCTGGCATCTTTTTTTCATCTCTAGGTTCGTTGGAATAATTTTCAGCTGTCTTTATGAAAGAGCAAACCAGTGACTTAATGATTAAATGAAGAGAAGAACGACTGGAGGGATGGATGGATGGGTGAATTGATGAATGGATGAATACAAAGATTGGTGATTGGGTAAATGAATTAATATATAGATGGACGTCTGGGTGAATGCATCGATACAGGAATAAATTATTGTATGATTGGATGAATATTTTAATAAATAAATAAACGGATGAATTACTGGGTGGAATAGATAAACTGGCAATTGAAAGAATTGACAGATGGATGACTGTTTGGATAAATAAATAGATGTGTGGGTGAATGCAAGAATGAATGAGTACGGGATTGAATAAATAAACTAATGAGTGAATGCATGGATGAATGAGTGAATGGATGAACTGATGAATTGTTTGAGGTATGATTGCATGAGTAAGTCGATGGATGCATGGAGTGCTCTGCTTGAACAGCTACATCGAAAAGCACAATCAGAAAATGTCCCTAAATATATGAAGATAATAGAGAGAAAAAAACATCGTTCAACTCAAAAGAGGCACTAACAAAGTGCACCAATTGCAACCCTATACTCCCCAGAAAATACAAAAAATCAATGACAATAAACATAACGCTAGGATCTATATGTACTTGACAATAAAAAAGAATAACGTTAACAGTTTCTCTCTTTGACGCAACTGTGTAATATTAATTTATTCTCCGATTTACTTTCTTTCTATGCGTAATCTGGGAATAAGGGACTGCGCCATATAATTTCCTGCAGTTTGGGAAGTTGTCTGAAAAAGAACATTTTGTGTTTAGTGCCTTTCTTTTGGAATTCGGAAAATATCTGCAGAATGTAGGTTTATCCGGTATAAAACATAGGGGTCGTTTGTCGCTAGTTTGTAGTCTTTAGTAGATGGTTGAGGTTCTAAATCACCGCAGACGTCTCGCCCTATGATGGCTCCATTCATATACCAGAGGAAATAATGGAAAATTTGTGAAAAACCTGTCAGTTCTAGAAATATTTTGAAGCTTTGCACACGCAAACTAAAACACATAAGGCAGCTGTTAGGTGCATTAACAGTGGCATTCTCTTACTGGAATAGCAGCTCATTGTTGGCACGAAAGCCGGTATTGCACACGTAGCGTACATGCTATTCTTGACGTAATCGGTCACCCGCCATTTTAGTGCAGTCAAGAACACGTCACGGGTACACCAACACGTCACTTGTACAACAACACGTCACGGGTACAACAACACGTCACGGGTACAACTGAGTAAACATTCCAAATAAAATCCACAGTTCACAGTGTCACACCAAGCACTCAGCTTAGTGACTTAAGCTTCGCAGAGTTTTGCATTGCAGGTCCAAACATGGGGAATAGCATCAGCAAATAACTTGCTGGAAACAAGATTTCAGAGCATCAGTGGTCAGCTGGCTATAGGTCATTTTGACCAGAAGTGGTCCGCTCTTGACCTATACAATGGAAAAGAGGGGGGGGGGGGGAGGTGTTAACGTATAGATTCTAGACTGCAGGCTATCTATTTGATACAGTTGTGTAAACTAATTGCGGAATTATCATCATCATCATCATCTTCTTCCTCTTCTTCTTCACTTCCTCTTTTACCGCTGTGGGTGTCGAGGAAGATATAAGGTTCTGTTTCTAGCTCTTCTGGCTGCCTCGACCATAGGCACTTCGTGCTGTTATAGAGTTTCTCTGATGTTATCCTTCCATCTTGTTCTTGGTCTACCCCGTGCTCTGCGTCCTTTTTCTCTTTCCATGTATGCTTTGTATGGTATGGTGTCACAAGGCATTCTCTCTAAGTGGGCAAACCATTTCACTTGCTGTCTTTGTATGTAGTCCAGAATTGGTTCTGTGCCGACTTGTTCTCTTATGATCTCATTCCTGATCTTATCTCTTATGGTCACTCCTACTCCTATCATCATCATCATCATATGGCTTGTAGTATATTCCTCTATTTCATTCTAGACTAGGCAATCCCTTGGGCATCATGGATGCAATCAATTCTACCACCTTTGACCTCTGTCATCAATGTTCATTTTAGTGTGTGTGTGTGTGTGTGTTTTGGGACGTCCTCGCTCCTTATTCCCTTTATTTCCTATAGCGGTGTCTGTTTTGGGGAAGCTCTACTATTTTTCCTCTCACGATGTGTTCAATATACCGCCGTCATTTTTGCATTATAACGCTTGTTTCTAATGGTTGCATAGATATTTCTCTGATTTCTTCACCCCTCTTGAATCCCTCCTTTTTGTGTTCATCATTTGCACCAGGAATTTGTTTTCAGGTCAATTTTACGTTCATTCCATGTCTGTAGTGGTTCTCAAATGTTGCCTGGCAAATGTTAGCATTGAAATAATATTAACATTAAAAATATGTAACTTGGTGTTAAAACTAAACAATTTGGAGCTCATTATTTACAATGTATTCATGTGTATTCCGCAATCCATTTCTGAAACTGACTTTGGTTTCAAGGTCCAACCAGCCATAAACGGGTACCGGGTTATGTCATGGGAAGCAAAGGCGGAGGTATGATGTCAATCATCGAGTGCCGATAAATATGAGTCTCACATCATAGTCCTGACGTTATCCTTACCCGCACAAGACCGCAGGTTGTGACACCGAGCCGGTTTAGCCGTTACGGGTGCCCCAACTATGGATGCTGAACGGGGTATCTGGGATCTGTCCTGTAGGTCTGCCGTATGGGATCTGACATGTAGGTCTGCCCTCTGGGATCTGACATGTAGGTCTGCCTTCTGGGATCTGACATGTAGGTCTGCCATCTGGGATCTGTCCTGTAGGTCTGCCGAATGGGATCTGTCCTGTAGGTCTGCCGTCTAGGATTTGCCCTGTAAGTCTGCCATCTGAGATCTGTCCTGCAGGTCTGCCATCTGGGATCTGCCCTGTAGGTCTGCCATCTAGGATCTACCCTGTAGGTCTCCCATCTGGGATTTATCCTCTAGGTCTACCATCTGAGATCTGTCCTGTAGGTCTGCTGTCTGGGATCTGCCCTGTAGATCAGTCATCTGGGATCTGTCCTGTAGGTCTGCTGTCTGGGATCTGTCCTGTAGGTCTCCCATCTAGAATCTGTCCTGTATGAATGTCATCTGAGATCTGTCCTGTAGGGATGTCATCTGGGATCTGCCCTTTCCAGTTTAAGAATATTTTTTAAACTCTAATGGTGCTTTACCAGGTTTTCTTCTTCTTCTTCTTCTTCTTCTTCTTCTTCTTCTTCTTCTTCTTCTTCTTCTTCTTCTTCTTCTTCTTCTTCTTCTTCTTCTTCTTCTTCTTCTTCTTCTTCTTCTTCTTCTTCTTCTTCTTCTTCTTCTTATTCTTCTTCTTCTTATTCTTCTTTTTCTTTTTCTTCTTCTTCTTTTTCTTCTTCTTCTTCTTCTTCTTCTTCTTCTTCTTCTTCTTCTTCTTCTTCTTCTTCTTCTTCTTCTTCTTCTTCTTCTTCTTCTTCTTCTTCTTCTTCTTCTTCTTCTTCTTCTTCTTCTTCTTCTTCTTCTCTTTTCTTCTTCTTCTTCTTTCTTCTTCTTCTTCTTCTTCTTCTTTCTTCTTCTTCTTCTTCTTCTTCTTCTTCTTCTTCTTCTTCTTCTTCTTCTTCTTCTTCTTCTTTCTTCTTCTTCTTCTTCTTCTTCTTCTTCTTCTTCTTCTTCTTCTTCTTCTTCTTCTTCTTCTTCTTCTTCTTCTTCTTCTTCTTCTTCTTCTTCTTCTTCTTCTTCTTCTTCTTCTTCTTCTTCTTCTTCTTCTTCTTCTTCTTCTTCTTCTTCTTCTTCTCATCCTCCTCCTCCTCCTCCTCCTTCTTCTTCTTCTTCTTCTTCTTCTTCTTCTTCTTCTTCTTCTTCTTCTTCTTCTTCTTCTTCTTCTTCTTCTTCTTCTTCTTCTTCTTCTTCTTCTTCTTCTTCTTCTTCTTCTTCTTCTTCTTCTTCTTTTTCTTCTTCCTCTTCTTCTTCTTCTTCTTTTTTTTTCTTCTTCGCACTCTTCCTCTTCTTTACGTTTATCGGCTGCAAACTTCAGACGAAAGTTTATGATGTTTGTCCACTTCTAGACTTTAGTCTTGTTTCAGAACTTGCGTTTTACGTGTACATCCATTTTACAGTCTTGCCTTTTTGCACGCAGACTGTTGGCTCCATGCATCTCAGACAGACGCCCACCGCTTTTTAAGGAAGCATCCCAATTTGTCGCCTTGTACAATATGCTTGTTGGGGGAAGAGGGCGTTTTCTACCCGCCCCGTCCCCCTTCTGAATGGTACACACGGTAACACCTTTAGATTACCGTGCTGGAGAATACAAACCGATCGATCTTAGAGGTTGAAATGCTTACCAACTTCTTTTATATTCCCCAGAACACCCAGGGAACAAACTGCATCATCCAAACTACCATCGCGGCCCTCCACCATCGTCCGACAACAGGAACAAACCTCAGCCTTATCATCAACAAAAGATTCTTCCCGCAAAATCAGCCTCAAAATCCTCCTTGCATTCCTCGAAAGGCAAACCGCATCTCCAGCCTGGACCATCAAAGAGAAGTTCCTACACTTCCGATGTTGACTCGGATCTTCCCAGAAACCGAGGATCACAAGTTAGATTAGACAACGAAAGGTCAACTGGAAATCAGGGTTTTCCTTGCGGAAAAAATCCCGACAATTTAGGAAGATCTACAAATCAAACTCTTCCATTCCCGCGGGAGAAATCTTCATCACAGAGGCTTACAAAAGATTCCACTAAAGGATTTGGAGCTTCGTCTGAAGGCATAAACTCTTCTAACCAGACTTTCCGTGGACCGCCTAGTGCCCGCTTGCAGACAGCGCCTACAGTGGTGAACCCTAGCAAGGGTCGGCAGTTATACCAAGCTCCCCCCAAATCGTTTGCACCGCCCACCAGGTCGTACAAATACACCGATAGAGCGTACCCGGTGTCAGACAGACACAGCTCTCCGACTAGCCTTCTAGAAGATGAGGATAGAACGACAACATCGGGAAGTTACACAGTTAACACGGAGGAGTTGCGTGATGATCTGCATTCTCTTGTGCTGCATGACACTGTTGTTTGATTTCATTGTCATAACCATTATCATAACCATTATCATCACCATCATCATCATCTGCTTTTAATTTGTCACCAGTCAAATCCTCTATTCCTTTCTATTCTGTGCAAACTCTTCGATATCGTGTTTTGAAACCACCCTCTCACTTTTGGCTTCTCTTCGGTGTTTGTTTAGGATTTCTCATAGACGACTTCGTTTTCTTAATCAATACATTTCCCTTTGCAGTACCTGGTAAGCAATTTTACTTCTTCTGATTCTCCCCATCCGGGGACAGATTTGACATCACAGCTTTTAGAACAAGCCCACGTTAACTCCGTCAACCCCCTCAACAGCAGCGAAGATTGACCATACTGATGCTACCGTTGTCATCTGGTTAACTTCTTATCTTGCAATCTCCTCTCCCCCTCCCCTTCCCCCAAACCCAACCACCGAATCTCGAGTGGCACCCACAGTCAGCAGACACTCCCCTCTGCATGATTGTCTTCATGTACGTGTTTCGAGTATTTTAAGTTGTAGTTGTTACCCCGCAGCACAGAGGAGAGATCTCTTACACTTGCAGTATACCCACAAGTGGGACAAATGGCTCCCCAAGTCATGCTGCGTATACCCACAAGTGGGACAAATGGCTCACCAAGACTTGCCCAGTATACCCACAAGTGGGACAAATGGCTCCCCAAGACATGCCCAGTATACCCACAAGTGTGACAAATGACTCCCTAAGTAATGCCGCGTATACCCACAAGTGGGACAAATGGCTCTCCAAGACTTGCCCAGTATACCCACAAATGGGACAAATGGCTCCCTAAGTCATGCCGCGTATACCCACAAGTGGGACAAATGGCTCACCAAGACTTGCCCAGTATACCCACAAGTGGGACAAATGGCTCACCAAGACTTGCCCAGTATACCCACAAGTGGGACAAATGGCTCACCAAGACTTGCCCAGTATACCCACAAGTGGGACAAATGGCTCACCAAGACTTGCCCAGTATACCCACAGGTGGGATAAATGGCTCCCCAAGACATTCCCAGTATACCCACAGGTGGGATAAATGGCTCCCCAAGACATTCCCAGTATACCCACAGGTGGGATAAATGCCTCCACAAGATCTGCCCAGTATATCCCGTCATCTGCTATGTCTAATGGCTGTTTATAACAGCTTTTGTCTAGACACTTGTCGTTTTTCTTCAACTTTACTGTTTATTTCTCGTTGGTGTTTTGTTTGCGAGTACAGTCACAATTGCGAACTATGGTGTTCTTCTCATTTATGTGCTGTTTGACGACAAATCTTCTGGCTGTGATTTCAACAGTGGTATGAGCGTCCAACCAGTTAACGACAAATAGCAGACTACTGGAAATACAGTTGAAAACTAGACCAAGGATTATTCTTGTTTTAACCTACTGCATATGCATTAAATCGTCACAAAGAGGACGTAGATGCAGTTTATTGTCGTTTGCTAGTTGTATAGCTTGTGTTCATGTCATGCTGTGCTTCGGTAGTGTCTGGTTTACTCCCTCCATAATCTCTTTCTTGGTCGGCCTCTTACTTGTCGCTGTTGTTCTCAGGTAGTACACTCTAGCTGGTATTTCATTGTGTTTCATTCTGACCAAAAATTGGGTAATCCACTCTAGGACAACTAACTAGCGATTGATGATGTCTGCATGAGTTGTAGCTGATCTTTTATTATTTTGAATAGTATGTGTATATATTTGGAGAGAGAAATGGGAAATGCGGGGGGGGGGGGGAGTAGGAGGAGGTTGAGACGGAGAAGAAGGAGAAGAAGAAGAAGAAGAAGAAGAAGAAGAAGAAGAAGAAGAAGAAGAAGAAAAAAAAAGAAGAAGAAGAAGAAGAAGAAGAAGAAAAAAAGAAGAAGAAGATGAATAATAATAATAATAATAATAATAATAATAATAATAATAAAGAAGAAGAAGAAGAAGAAGAAGAAGAAGAAGAAGAAGAAGAAAAAAAAAGAAGAAGAAGATGAATAATAATAATAATAATAATAATAATAAGAAAAAGAAGAAGAAGAAGAAGAAGAATCAGGACAAGCAGAAGGGAAAAAAAAAAGCGAAAGAAAATCGAAGGAAAATCGTAATTCAGTTAGATTGATTCTGTAAGGAGCGTACTAGACAAATACCAAGTTATCAAGGCAGCATATGTGGGTCAAGATGCAACCGTTGACACTCCACGCCTAAGCGAAACTAGCCACCAGAAGCCATTCTCCATCGGTTGCTTGGATATGACGGACTGACGGGGAAATTAAATGCACTTGAAAACAAAAACCTGATAAAAACTATGAACACAAAATTTGAGGAATTTAAGAGGAGTAAAGAAAAATTGGAAATGACTGGGCAAATACAAGATTCAAAACTTATAAGACATTGAAGATGGTGCTATCTTGGACACATCCTGGGAAGAAACGAGCAGAAAAACACCATACAGGCACTGACAGTACACTTTGATCTTAGCCATGAGTCGGAAAAGCGATGTAAAACAGGCATTGAATTAGGAGAGATACTGAGGTAACTAGGTCGTCTAAAAGAAATATTAAGGCCAACGTTGAGCAGAGAAGCTAATAGTGCTGGACTGATTTCCATCAATGATTTCAGAGTGATTCCACAAGATTTTGCAGTATGGAGAAATAGACGGCCAGGTCTATTGGGGATATAATAGCATGACGTAACAATGAATGAATGAATAGGACCAACAAATGTATTTTCAATTTGATAATAATTTGATTTGATTCAAGAACCGACATCACAGCACTCGGGGCATTCCCAAAAGCGCTCCGTCCCCATCTTTAGCTGCCAGCGATGAGTTCCGATACTAATGGTGCCAGTACCATTCTGATTAAACGTCCGTCTTGCCTTTCTTCTGAGTCTCGAGCATCTGTCAGAACCTCTCGTCACTCCCCGCTGCATCTCACCAGACTGTGGTGACGCATCTGCTTCTCCGAACTGTACAATTCAGTCTGATAATTGCATAAATAATTTAATACACATATATTCAATATACTCTATACAAATGTATCGTAATATAATACTTTTCTTTTTCTCCTTCTTGTGCATTCCGGGCGATTTCCACTGCTGCTGATATGTCCCGCCTTTATTCATATATCTGATTTCTCTTCTCTTCCTAGTGAGTGATTACAAATTCTTGTAAGGCTGTCTGTATGCATCTCTGATTTCCCTTATCTTCCCAATAAGTGACTACAAGTGTCGGTAGGTCTGCCTGCATGTTATCTCTCCGCTGTTTTCTTGGTCTGCCTCATTGTCTAATCCCATTCAACACTTTTGTGTAAGCAGTTGTTACCTTTCTGTTACCCGTCGTTTCCTCGATGTGCCCAAATTCCTGCAGGATAAAAGCCTTCAAGATGCCAGTAATTAGAGGTGATTTCAACATGTGGTAAATAACAGAAAAGCGGAGAAACCATATGGCGAACGTTGTTGAGAGAGGCCAAGTCGATTAATTGGATTCTAGCTATGATATTGTGAGCACTGAAAAGGATCGGGGTGGAGCTCTAGACTGTGAGACGTATGTGACTCCTACCGGTACAAGATGATGATGGCCAGTGTACTAGATATTTCATGTAATGTCACCAACTGACCGACCTTTGTTAGGACTTTGCATAACTAACTCCGGCAATTTTCGGCTCCTTGTGGTTTCACTAGATAGTTTCATGTTCAGTAGTTTGATATTTTTTTCTGGGCGGTCTGCTCACGATACCACTGTTGAAACACGGCAAGGAATTCTGCCGCCAAATCGCACCTGGCATCTCGGAATTATGAAGCGCATTCACAACAACTAAGCCACAGACGCCGACTAACTGCCTTGACGTATCATAAATGTCTACATACCATGGGTTCAGCCTGGGATGGTTCTGCTGTCATCATAGTCCATCCCCAGCAAATAAGCAACGTGTGATCCCCACTAAGACAAGAGAGTACCCCGTCACCTTCATGACTTTCAAGAATGCAATGGTCCTACATTGAAAGTACATAGTGAATGTCTCTGCGCTGTCTGCTGAAGAAGGGGACGGAGCACGTGTGGGAATATCCCGAGTGTATTAATGTAACTTCTTGACTGATTCATTTAATTCATTCATTAAATGAATTAGCTGCATGAGTAGCTTGGATCGTTGATATCATAAATATTATTTATATAAATGATTTCCCTTGTCTGGTGACATGATTGAAATAATTGTCTTTGCTTGATCTGACCAATAAGGCATTAACAGCATTCAATATTCAAGTAAGGTGGCTGGATACCCACACATTTGCTCCACACTCCTCTTTATGTTTGTTTGTTTTAGTATCCAGAAGCCATGAGTTGTTAACCCTTAGGCTCGGTATTATGGATATCGCAACCTTTCGGCCTTGATTCCATTGTAAATACCGTAAATCTGGGAGAAAATGTGGCTTTCCTGCCTACCCCCGGGATTGAACCCGGACCACAAGGAGTACGTCACCCGGTCTCCGCGAAATCCGGTTCAGCCAATTCCGCTAGAGAGCCGGGCATTTCGCCTCTTTAAAAGGGGGCAATGTGTTATATTTAGACCGAGGGCAGAGCACAACAGACTTCGTCAACAAGCGTTCAACTTATTAGGTATAAGACATTCGGAGATGTGTCCGTGCAATTGTGCACCTGAAAATGCTGACCAGTTACTCCAACACTGAAATCTTCATGTGCTAAACGACAAGCCATTGAGCCAGTTACATCCTGAAACATGCCAAAGCTGTATGGTACACGGTAGATTTGAACATGCCAAAGCTGTATGGTACACGGGAGATTTCAATATGCCAAAGCTGTATGGTACACGAGAGATTTCAACATGCCAAAGCTGTATGGTACACGGGAGATTTCAACATGCCAAAGCTGTATGGTACACGAGAGATTTGAACATGCCAAAGCTGTATGGTACACGCGAGATTTTAACATGCCAAAGCTGTATGGTACACGGGAGATTTCAACATGCCAGAGCTGTATGGTACACGAGAGATTTCA